CCTGTCGAGAAAAAATTCCCTCCATCCGGGCCTTAATCACTATTACAATGTCATACAAATGGACCTCACAATTCCTCTCTGATGATCGAAAACACCATACTAGGTGTGAGTACCAGTGTCTGCGCATGCGCCGATGCAAACACTATAGACCTTTTTTTAAATTAATTAAAGTCTAATGAATAATTACGTGTAAAAGAATGAAACCAAGGTATTTATTATCTACAAACGATTTGCTCCCCATTGGTTAATATTATTTCGGTCGACAAATAAAAATTAGTGAGGTGGGGTTCTAACTTCCGATCATTATTTCGTTTAATTAATTAAAAAATAATGAAGGGTCTACAAAATTTTTTAATTGTATTACAATGATGTACAAAGGTCCTACTATTGATCTAAATAAAAAAACTATTGAATTTTCAATTATGTGGTGCCAACTAGTAGTCACCCTGTGTCACACATTTAGAACAAACATTCTCCCACTACTGTTCGGCCTCCTTACTCTATTCTTCATGGTCTATCCTCATGACCTCATCAGGTGATTGTCAGCAGTGTTTTAATAAAGTCGTAAGCCTACATTTAACATAAAAGATTGAAGAATAACATCGAACATTGAGAATGTTATCTATAGAAAAAATCCCTGACCAGATTGGGTATCTAGTGTTAACTGAGGATGGTGCAGTGCTTGCGGTAATTATTGTTGAAGAATTAACAATAATAGTATATTATGCATCAAGGGCAAAAAGGTAGTGTTGCCCGAGGATCACTTGCTATTTTTTAACATGCCTGCAGAAGAAACTTTGTGTTTTGCTGTCTGACAAGCGGGACGCAAGTGAATACTTTCCGCCCTAGGGAGGGAACTGTTGACTTCCGACCCTGACCGTATCTTTCTACCCGATGGCGAGAAGTAGTTACTTCCCCCCCGCTTATCAGGGAGCGAAGTGCGAACTTGCCGTGCAGGTGTGTTGAAAAAACCTTTTTACTATTCAATAGGCATAAAAAATTTACCTCATTGTAACTTAGTCTTATTGGGTATGGGCCATTCTACTATTAATATTGTTTGTGTTGCTTTGTATACAAACGTTTATTTAGGTTCTGAAATAACTTGCACTTGCCTTCCATGTATTGTTTTCCTAACATTAACAAAAATATCCCACATTTTGGGTCAAGGGGCCGTATCAACATTTTTGTTTAATAGGCCGGGAAATTTGAGCCAGGTCATATATAAACACGAAATTAGCGAAATAGTGAATTTCCACATTTGCGATGATTTTCAATCATCTGAACATAATTTCTTGATACTAATCCTAACGAATGAGAATCATCTCACATGTGACAATTCACCATTCTGCAAAATCGTATTTATACAAACTTTTGGCTAAAATTTGCCAATGAACAAAAAAAAATGATCTCACAGCCTTTTGACCGTAATCACGTCATATTAAAAAAAAGCAACTGATTCGATTCAACGATTCTCTAATAAGAAAGAATATTTGACGATTCTGTTTAGTCCGGTGGTGAACTCGAGAATGATGAGTGGATAGCCAATATCGTAACTGGATTAGTCACAATGACCGATAAGATTGATCCAAACACCCTGGTTGGCAATGAAACTTTCAACAAAATATCCATTGTTTACCCCAACCATTGTTACGTGATTTGTTTATCAAATAAGAAAATTCACGTACTGAAGAAAAAAAACCGCCATTCCATCGTCGCTCAGCAGATTGGAGAGCAGCATAATCTCATAGAAATTTGAGAGATTCATTAATAATAAAAAGAGTCCAAACCGAATTATTTATTTTTTCTTAATTAAGGGATGATTATGTTTAGTAATTTGGTTTCAATTCGATAGTCCCAATGGTAGCTGGTGACGCAAAACATCTGAGGAGATAAACACTAAAAAAAATGTTTCTGAAGTGTGTCTTTACTTGTATTGGGAAACACATATTTAATAATTACGAATTATACGATATCTCATAGTGAGTGGAAAGAGACATTAGTCACGGAATTTCGTATTTTTTCTCATGAAGTTTCTCTTCAAGCACGTCTACTTATATCGAGAAACTCATCCCACGAGAGTTCACAAGAGAATCGCCTCTTACTCTGAGAAACGAAATATTTCTGTGAAAAAATTACACTCTTGTTCCAACGATCATGAAAAATGATTTCATGTATAGAAATGTAATTGATTAAACCAAATCTAGCTGGGTGAATGTACTCATAAGTTTTCTTTTCTCATATCCAAAAAATTTCACTGTAAAAACTACTGGACTTGATTGGAGCAGTTGCCTTCTTATTTTCAATTCATTACTCATCATTTTTTTTAGAAATAAAAAATTTCTTAATTAAAGCTTTTTTTCTTTGTGCTAGTTTTGTGCTTTGTGCCGTTTTCTTGGAAATTTTGAGGGTTACAAGTTTCTTCATACGTGTAAAGTCGTCCTTCTCAAAAACTTTTTTTTTGCAGTATAGTGTACTGTAGTGTGTTGAAAATTATCAAGGTATTTTAGGTATTTCAATTTAATTTTATCGGAAAATTTTTAAAAGAAATAAAACTTGACCCACATGTTTTGAAAAATAAAAAAATTTCCTGGATGAAACGGCGCAAAAGGTGACCAGAAATTATTCGCAGTTATCTATAATTTTTCACATTTGTATACCAGGTTCAAATAAATAATTTTAAATGTTTCCTTTCTTCAACTTAATCATGTATTACAAGAAACTGGATCATACATAGAAATATATTTACTGCACAAATTAACGGTTTTCATTAATTACATAAACAGAATCCTTACGGTTCCCTGAAAAAAGCTCCCTCTCCGAAAAATCGAATTCCTCATAACAATAATATATCCACAAGTAAAAAATAGAGTTTATTCAAGTACAATTTGAAGAGTGAAGCGAGCAAAAGAAAAAAAAGATTGCAAGTATTTAATCTGACGATGTTCCGGAATACCCTGAAGACCCCCAAGATCTCTTCCCACTTTTGTTTTTCACCTTAGAATGCTTCCCCTTCAAACTTTTATACTTCTTGTGCGTCTTCTTGCGTTTGTTTGTATTCTTTGCCTCACTCGAAAGTTTCTCCACAGACTCTTCCAAGCTCCTCCCGCATTCCTTGCGTTTGCTTTTATGCTTCCTGTACTTGCCTTGTATGCGCGCAGACCTTGAGCTACATTGGCTGTTAGAGCGCCTCTCACCATCCCCCGGAGATTCAGTAGAAGACATCTCCATGACCTTCCTCTCCCTGTATTCACTGATGGAAATTCGAAGCCTAGTGTCCTGTTTATCCTCATTACACGATTTGCTCGGACTCCTATCCACTTTCTTATCGACATACCACTCTTTCTTGGTTGCATCCTTTCTTAAGATAGTCGAGTCCACAGGCACACACTTGATGACAGTCGACTTCATTTTTCCTCTCGATCTTCTGTCTTTATCACGAAAATGAGCAGTTCTCCTGCGACCCCTTTCACATTTTCGCTTTTTCAAGGGTAAGTTTGTATCTGAGGTATTGGAGCTGAAATCACTCTCACTAAAATACGATGAACTTGACGAATTTGTACTGCTGGAAGATGAGTCCTCAGTGTGTCTGTCGTTCTGGCTCTGACTTTGCTTCGTCAGATCCTTTCGAATTTTAATGATAAGGGCTTTCTTATTAGTCGGGTGGGCTTGGCTATCTTCCTCCGAGCTAGAGTGGGATACAGTTCGAGATCGAAACTTCTGAGAACGTTTTGTTTTCCTCTTCTTTGAATCTTGAAGGGAGTCATCGTCGGAACTCGATGTTTTTCTGGTTCGTTTTTTAGAATTCTGAAAGATTTTTTTGTGGGATTGCTTCCTCGGACTTTTCTTACAGGTTTTCGAGGCCTTCCTTGTGTGTTTCATCGTGGGGGGCTTTTTTACTCCTTCAATTTTATCGTCCTCCGAAACAGAATCACTGAATTCGCAGTCTATGGGAACAATATGCATGGAGGCTTTACGACGGGTTCCGCGAGGATTCCTGCGAATTATCTCCTGAGATGTACTCGGCTCATCCTGTGGAATGAAAGTCAAGGAGGGAGAGTGGGGCATGAAACCCAGGGGAACGGAGGTGCTAGGACCAGCCATTTCACCGTCGGACGAGGCAATCTCAATAATCTCGGGAGTTCTCTCGTGACGAGGTTTTACGTAGCCTACAACCTCGCAGTCAGATTCCTCGGACTCTGAAGAGATTGTAAAAATCGTCGGCGAGGCTGTTGGAGGACAAATTTGTAAGGTTTGGCTCACCGTGCTCGGTCCTACAAAAAAAAAACATTTTTTTTATGTCGCAATTTCAAAGAACGAGATCTGCAGGGAATTGTAAATACTCATTCGTGATTCATGCTGTTGACATTTCATATTAACTGACAGTTTAGAAGGTTGACAAATCTTTCGTCTCTTTTTATTATTTGTGATGATCCATAAGAAAAGGTCCTTCGTTAACGATATCGAGTTTGTTGCATGGTTGGATTCCAAATCGCATCCTAAGACGGTAATAAAAAACTCGACTTTGTAATGTTTAGGGATTGCAATACGTACGAAAATGATCCCCCCCCAGAAAAAAAATTTCATAAGTATTACTATTCGATCATTTTCTAATTGTATCCTAAGTTTTATCACAATAGGAACATGTTTCCTAATTTTGTCTTAACTTTGAATTACCCCTAAGAACCTCAGTTAAACCGCCTTTTGTGAAAGAGTCAAGGGGAGGAGAAGTTTCGAAAAACAAAATTTTAGTTCTTATATCTTCGAGAATGCACGTACACGATCTTAAATTATTTAATAGGGAAGGGTTCACGTTTACAATATATTGAATTCGTATAATAATTCGTATCGTAGTATTTTTTTAAGGACTGTATGGAATGTGATCTTTTGTTTCGATTCTATCTGGTTAGCCTAAAATCTATCAAAATTTGGGATCAATTTTATGTTGCAGGCATCACTCGAATGGCTATAAAAAGATAATGAAAAAAAGAGGAAAAATTATTGAAAGGCGCTAAATCGCGATAATGATCGAAAGGCATCTATCAGGGTTACAAAAAAAAATACGCAGCTTGCAATGCTTTCCAGTGAATTGAGTGACAGCTAGACGCGTATCGTAAGCTGTGTATTTTTAATTATTTTTTTGCAAACTTGGAAAATCCCTCCCGACGAATGTCGCCATTTATCACCCTTCAATAATTTTTCCTCGTATAATCATCCAAGTGGTTTCCACAACACAAATTTGATCCCAAATTTTTACGTATCTCAGGCTAATGAAATAAAATTTAAACAAAAGATCGCGTTCGACAAATGGTCGATCCAGGCCTTAAGTAAAAATTATGAACATCTAGGCGAGATAATAAAAAAAAAAGATAATTCCAACCCAATTACCAAGGTACCGACATCTTGGAAACTAGAGGCACGCACAAGGACCTCTTTATACGGACGGCCAGATTGATTTAAGATTGTTGATTTCTTCAATTCACAATTTTTAAGAAGTTCCTCCTTATCAAAAGTTGTGACAAGGTGAATTAGGGAGAAAGTTTAAAAAAAAAATTGTGTAATTTCGCATTGTGATCATAATCACGACATTGACTAGTAGAGAAGTTGGTGGAATAGAAACGGTTGGAAAAATAATAAGAATTTTAAATCGATAATATGAATAGAAACATGCTGATTGGGTATGTCATCGATTGAAAATCTATAGCCTGAAGTTTATATAGTAAGTAAGAATTAATTCAGAAGACGAATAAACACAGAGAATGCCATTCAAAGAAATCAATTAGATGAAAAATGAGAAACGAAGAAAAGTAAACAGAGGGTGAAGACTATTTGACAGAAGATATGCTGCCGTCATTTTTTATATTGCTAGGCCGGACCCACGCGCTAGCCTGATTGCATGGTGTCGATGCTAATACTTGTTCTATGCGAATTCATTACTTTAAATATTCACTTAATACTACCGATAATTTCTTTAACAAAAAAAAATTCCAAATAGTACCGATTTAAGTCATTGTGACGATGAATTGTTTTCATTCATATGAAATCAATTTCAAATAAGTCGTTCAAATTTCAATGCCAAATCCCGAGAAATTTTGTTAGAATGCTCTTTGAACTATCACAAAATGATCTATCGCTTCTGATGTTTTAGTTGATAGTGACAATATGGCGAAGAGCTAAACGATTTCAAATAACGTTTGACCAAAATTTCTCGGTGTTAGGCCATGAAAAATGTTATTATTGTGAAAAAACTCCTGTGATAAACATCCGGAGTGTTTTCGATCTCACATTTGAAGAATTCAATTAAATCTATAAACCGTCATATATGTCAGATTTGTCAGATATGTCTTCATTCGTCTGGTTTAAAACAGCTATATATGGCGGAAAGGTAACTTAAGTTATGGCGGAAAGGTAACTATTTGCTAAAATATCCATGAATTGATAAAAAGTTAGCAGGACCAAATAATTTTGATGCTAATTACAAGGTGATTGGATGTATTTTCATCCAAGCACAAGGTTATAAAGATTTGAGCTTAAATTGAGCCAACCTCATTTCTATGAGGAAAAAGATGACCATTTTCAAAACGTGACATCTAATATAGTAAAATCACTATATTATGACTCATAGTTATTAATCAAGTAGATGGACTGACTGATATGAGATATCAATCTGTTTACTAAATTTTCTGATTCATGGAAGGAGGAGATTTTAATTCTAGAAAACAAAGACCAAGCCTGGCGATCATCATGGATTTTTCACTGATAAAGATTTTCATTATTTTTTTTTAAATTTCTACCAATTTTGTTAGTAACAAGCTTCCGAATGGATGCGTAGTAATTCTATGGCTTTATAATAGGCATCTATATTCAATAGCATGTTAATAAAAAGTCAACATGATTTTTCGATGAAAGTTCTTACTCATAAAGTTATGCAGCAAAAGACTAAAATTTTATAGAAATTCATCTTTCCATTCGTCTTTGTGCATTAAAAAAAATTGATAATTCCTGCAATATAATTTTTTTCAAATACTCGGTTTTCAGTATATTTCTCCACGTTCCATAAAATTCTTGATCATTTGGAATAAAAATGAGATAGAATCGAAAGATTGTTGAAATACAAGGCTGCCATTCGGAAGCAAAATAGTTGAAATTATTCGCACCGACGTTCGACTGGTAACGCCTAACTCAATGCACAAGTCATGTTAAAAAATATACACTCAAAGTGAGTGCCAATAACACGTTGCCTTTCAACATACCTGGCACATCGATCGGATGAGGTCCAATAGCAGGCATCTCAACCTGCTGAACATCCACATGATCTACAACTCTCACATCGGAATCATCGCTGGATGAACTACTGCTGCTGCTGCTCGTCTGCGTAGGTGATTGAACACTATTCATGTAGCCACTGGGCAGGCCATGAGTCGGATAAGTAATATAGTTGTCATACGCTGCGATCTCGAAGCCCGTCCGAGCGTAATTCATCAGCTCATGGAGAAAATGATCAGTATGGATACCGAAGTGAGGCCTGAGGACGTCCCTTAATTCAGCACTCCTCAGGTCGTGTCTTGTTAAAGAATCCATTATCGTTCTCAGAACATATGCAATATGAGGCTCATTTCCGTTGAGTAGGATCTGAAGATCTCGATTGATCCAAGGAATTAATCGGTTTAGCTCATATGGATTCGTCCGGAAGAATCCAGCGCTGTGTTCAAGGGCTCCAGCATAATGTCCAGGGAGGGGGGCTGACCATTCTCCGTGTCTATACACATTTCTCCTATACTCCGAAGGATTACGACGTCTATATCTTTGCTCCTCGCGTGATACTGTTGATACTCCATCACCAGTAGCGCCTGCCTGAGTTTGAGTTGAATTCGACAGAAGCCTAAATCTCCTATTGGGAGTTATAGTCGTTCTGTATGCAAATCTTCTGGCCACTGGATCCTGAACGTGTCTGATGAAATCATAATCCAAATTAATGAGCTCGAGGTTGATGTCTACCAGTGGTGAAATCTGGGGAGGTCCGACCATCTCTCTTGGCACGTGATACTGATCGTAATCCTCCTCTGAGCGTACATTATGAATTATAGATTTAAATGTCTGCTTGCAAAGTGGACATTCAGTCTTTATCTTGGACCACTGTAGAAGGCAGGTGAAGCAAAACTGGTGCAAACAGCTATCAGTAAAGGAGGTATTTACCAGGTGCCCCAGGCATATACTGCATTCTGGCGTGGGAGAGTTTGCCCCGCCCCTGTCTTCTGGACTTGCATGTGCTGTTGGCTCTGCCTTTATGGGGTCTTTTGTCCCTGGGATCTCCCCGTGGGGTATTGGCTCTTCCATGCTATGATCCAGTTGTTGACTGGAAGGAGTACTTTCTCTGCAATGCAAAATTTTTCATTATGTCAGGCACATAGAAAAATTTCAATCATCGAAATCGACGATGGGTAAATTTCATTTTTTTAAGGCTTAAGGGCCGGATGCAGTATCTCGGAAAGATAATTTACTCCAAAATTGGGATTCCTAATTACTCCGCCAATTAATTGTTTTTTCCGATAATTGTTAGCTAGCGTTCTAGTCGTTGACAACCGCTAGAAGGCTAGCTAACAATTATTGAAAAAAACGATTAATTGCCAGAGTAATTAGGAATCCCAATTTTGGAGTAAATTATCGTTTCCAGATAATCCAACCGGTCCTTAAGTCCGTAAGTCTCGGAAAACTTATCAACTATCCTATTCAGGTACTGGAGGGATTTACACACTTTGACTTGTGGAAGTCTGAATTTCATAGTTGTGAGTAATTAATTTAATATTAAATATTTGTTAGTATATTCACTCCTAGTTAGATTTTGGAGAATGACAGTTTTTATTATGAATAAATTATCATCATGGCTAGAACAAGCGCATAATTATGCACTTAACTGAAGTCTTTCTTCTTTTAGATGAAGATGTCATTTTCTTGGCAATTTTCAACGTATGAATTTCTTGATGCAAGCAGATGCAGGCTTCTCGAAACACTCATCTATCGAGTAAGCACTATATCCCTTGACTAATGTTCTTTTCTCTCAGTAGAATTTTTCTTGTAAAATTCTAAGCATGTATTTCGTAATACAAGAAAAGACACACTTCTTTAAAAATTATTTTTTTTAAGTGTAGTTGTAATTATTTCCCAAAACACGTAAATAGAGTAATGTTATTATAGAATGTTAAGAGCCCTTAGGTATTGGGGACTGTTTTAGTGTGGAAATATCTTTTTTCATATTTCTTCGTTCATTCTGTGGCTGAGAACATTAAATAATTGGTGAATATTCACTTGACTTATCTCGATCTTTCAATTTAAGAGCCGGACGGACTTTCTATCTTTTGGATCAAATTTGTGTTATAGGCACCAGTCGAATGCTTATGAAAAGGTAATGAAAAGAAAAGAAGAAAACTTACTGAAGCGCGGAAAAGCGCGATAATTATCGAAAGGGTTGTACCAAGTTCACTAAAAATACTAAAAAAATACGCACCTTACCATTGCTCTCCAGTGGATTAAGTGACGGCTAGACGCGCATCGTAGGCCGCGTATTTCTAATTATTTTTTATTAAGCTTGGTAAATCCGCTCAATAATTTTTACTATTTTTTTCCGTTATCCTTTTATAAGTATTCGAGTGGTTTCAACACAAATTTGATCCCCAATTTTAATATATTTTAGGTTAACAAGATGTAATTCAAACAAAAGATCGCGTTCGACAGATTGTCCATCCGGGACTTAAACTTAAAAAAATAAATGCGTGGGTCAGTCAAACATCAGATGTTGAAGAATATGAATAGAAAACTTTCATGCTAGAATGTTCCCCATGAGAATCCTTTATGGGAAGTCAGAATATTACTGTCGCTATTTAAGTATTTAACCAAAAAGTGTCTAAATAGTTTTGAAAAGTATAAATTTTATTTATCACAAGTTCTTAAAAATTATTATCGTCAGCGAACTTCAAAACATTCCAAAAGTTCATGTTATACTTTTCAGGCTTCAAAAAACAACCGAAGGGAAATATTAATAATTTTTTTTTATTTTTGGAAAAAAAATATGAAGAAGAATTGCTACGAAAATTCAAGATTTAGGTAAAAATTCAAATTCAGTGCAGAGCGATTAAAATTTCACAACTTAATTCAATGTTCAATGGAATATGAGTATTCATGCAAGATAAAGAAAGAAATTTTCTTTTATTCCATTTCTATATTTCTTTTCATATAATCATTCATCGACTCAATTTTACCTTTTTTTACCTTAACAATACTCCCCCCCCCCCATTTCCACCATTTTATATAGCATTAAATATGAAAGGAAATAGTTTAATAGCATTCTACACCTTGTGGATAAGATTTTGGATTAGGTATAAAGGGGACCAGGGTAATTCTCCATATAATTTCACAAGAAAACTTTACAGAAAAAACGGATGCCAATTATGCACCACCCACCAAATTTTCAGTCAAAATGATGAAATACGCATACATAAAGCAGAAGTGAGAATTTCAGATATACTTCTGAAAAGTAAAAAAAAAAAGTACTTGTCAAAAATATCCAAGAATCTTTTTAAAAACAAATAAAATCATTGATGAAAAGTAATAGTTATGCGTTTCAGAAGATTTTTTGTGAGTTTTAAGTGTGAAATGAAATACTTTTCACAAACACACTAACCTTACTTCTCACAGGTATTTTTCGGATATTTGAAAGGTTAATTCATCAAAAGTTGAGTCCCAAACTGTTCAACAGTAATCCACTTTTCGATTGGATGCAATCCAATAAACATCAACCCTGCCTCCTTTTCTAAATAGAAGTCATTCGTTTTTTAAACCCCAAAATGTTATTCAACGTTCCAACATATGAAAATTTCAATGAATTATGTCTGTCAATTTTCCATTCCTAAAATAAATATTCAAGTTAATTATTAGATACACAGACGTTCGAGGGAACATTGTTTACTGATTTTTACGTACTCACAGAATACTTGAATGTGTTGCAATTAATGAATGATGCCTTAGGCAATGCAATGGATATAGGATATTGCAATCGATCACGTAGAATAAAAGATCATCAATACCGCAACGAATTTCACAAAACTGTGTAGTTCCATGATTATGGATAACGATTAACCGAATAGTTGGGTTACGCCCAGTATTCTACATCGTACTAAACAATTTCTCCTTCTTCCCCTTTATGGCTCAATTCCCTGAAGTAGAAGTATGTGCCGTACTAAATAACTTGATGTTTACGACCAACTGACAGCTCATGAAAATTTTGTTGGTTTCGTCTATTTGAGGGGTATGTAAATATGCTTTTCCACTGATGCCAAATCTCGTTTCTAACTTTGGAATTAAATCAATCTCCTGAATTATTGTTCGACAGTATTAGAAATTTCTCAATGAATATTCCGCACTGGTTAATCGTTATGTCGGGCAAATATCAGTAATTGCGTGATTAATTGGCTGGTGAAAAATTCAGGAAACACAATTGATGGATAAAAAAAACTTTGACGGAAAACTGAGATTCACTCCAGCCACAATACATTTCACCTACACCTGCTTATAGCTTGTCTGCATACGTTTCCGACCGTATATACAGAGATTATAGGGGAGATTGCTAGGGTTTATGGAAAGGCTTTGGCGAGTGATTCATTGCGGCGGCTACGGAACTACGCCCAGAGAGCCCGTACGTGTAAGTAAAACAGGTCGCGAGCCCGTGAGTGTCGATAATTTTTAGAGCGCGTGCGTGTCGATAATGTTCAGAGCCCGTGAGTATGGATAAGACAGAGCGCGAACCCGTGAGTGTCGATAATTCGAGGCGGCCGTGAGTGTCAGAAAGGTAGACCCCCGGGTACTTACCCGACAAAAGTCAGTAATTCGAAAAACGCAATTATGTACTCGATTGTACATCGTTAGTACATGATTGTACCTATAAAATTTTTGTTTGTACATCAACGGATTAATTAAAAAAAATTAATTAAATTTCGGCATGATCTTAGCCGACAACAAATTAAAAATTGATCAATAAAACCAAATTAGGGGTGTTTTCCGACGGAAATCGTTTGTACATTACCAATTTCATGTTTTCGTCGTTTGTACATTGATTGTTAATGAGTTAAATCCATTTGAAAAATCATGGTTTAAGTTGCGCGTCTCTATATTATCAATTTCTGCTCTTTGTTCTGTGCCTAAATGGGCTTTCGCAGATCCTATCACTGCTACTCGTTAATGTATATAGGGGACAGTGCGGTAAAATGGAGGCTCATGACTTTTTTCAAATGTTTATAAATTAGGAACAAATTGAAAAATTGAGCTCCATCTAAGGGATTCATAAAGGAGAAGGATTTTACTCTCAATTGAAGCAAAATCAAATTTTTATTTCCTCAAAATTATGGTTAATGCATTTCCATACGATTAATTCGAATGTACGGACGTTCCCCAATAATGCTTTTCAATAATACTCCACTCCAAAAATGACTCTCCACTGCACTCCGAAATGAACATGGTGGCTAAAAATGAATTGTCCCCTCTCATCGCGGCCCCTCTCACCTGACTTGTTATGACGTAGATGCGCGCAATATTTCTTTCAATGAAAGTTTGATGCAGAATCCACATTTCAATAGTACAATTTCTGTTAGATTCAATGTTTATACTCGTAAAGCAAAGAATAATGCAATAAAAATCCATTTAAACACAGAACAATGCGCAGAGGTCGATAGTATAGGAACGCGCAACTTAGACCATGATTTTTCAAATGGATTTAACTCATTAACAATCAATGTACAAACGACGAAAACAAGAAATTCGTAATGTACACACGATTTCCTTCGGAAAACACCCCTAATTTGGTTTTATTGATCAATTTTTAATTTGTTGTCGGCTAAGATCATGCCGAAATTTAATTAATTTTTTTAAATTAATCAGTTGATGTACAAACAAGAATTTTATAGGTACAATCATGTACTAACGATGTACAATCGAGTACATAAGGTCGTTTTTCTAATTAGTGACCCATGTCGGCTAAGTACCTGGAGGTGTTCATATAGCTTGCCTTTCCCTCTCTTAGTGCGTTGCCGCATCTCCATCTTGTAATTAATTATTAATTTTTTAAAATTAGAGGGTGTAGTGAGCGAAAATTTCTCATTTTTCATTTTTTTCTAATGGGGAATTACGTAGAATCATTTGGAGAATCGATTTCTGTAAGTTTCGTGATTTGGGGAATTGATAAGAAGTTGACAATTAATAAATTAAATGATTACATCAATTTCCAGCCCTGGGCATGCGCACATGTACATTCGTTCGTTCCTTCCCAGAGAGAAGCGTTTTGCACATTACCTCTCTGTTTTATCAGCTAAGGCATTCCGAATTTATTACGTAACACATACACTAATTCCTCCAATCTTTAAACTCGAGGTCATCCCCATTTAAATCATTCACGGTACTACGTGTAGAAATACTAACATCACGCCAAAATCTTGTAAAACTTGCAGAAATTGAAAACTTTAATTTCATAATCTTTTTCACAGAGAAAGAAATTGAAGTTGTCATCGAAATTTTAGAAGGTGCTTATAAAAAGCAACTCCAACAAGTCTGCGCCAATAACGGATGATCGAACATAAAACGGCCACAATTGGAGGTCAGTGGTAGGTCACACAAGATCATTCTACGTTGAACATTCAAGACCGTCTGTCACGTTTTCGCATTGGAGGTAAGAATAATCCAGCGATTTCTGAATTTATTTATATTAAAAATTCGAAATATCAGCTTCGAACAAAGATATTTTATATCTAAATATAACCATTGTTGCTGAAATTCTAAATCAGGCATTTTTTCTGAATTTTAGCAAATCACTAACGTTGTATCGATTCTATATAGGGAATATAAGTATTACAGATCAGCCTGATAATTTTTACATGAACTTCAATTCTAAGGCAATTTTTGTATAAAAAAAAACAAAGAATTGAATTCGTAATCAAACACACTGAACAGTTTATTAAAGACCTTTTGATGTTTAAAAGTTATTTCTGGATAGTGAATTCGATTTTGAGAAGGACAAGCTATTCTTCAAGTCTGGATGATTCTTATTCAATTGCTTTTTGGTCATCGGATTGTAGGGAGACAGATATTAGATTGTAGATTATTAATCAATTGAAAAGATAGCTTATTCTTTTGTGAGACGGTGAACATTTACGGAATGGAGTATTTTTTCTTCCTACAGAGCCCTAACCTCAAAGTGCAACTTTAGCACAATGTCGATCCAGAGCATCAAAGCCCGTCAGATTTACGACTCTCGTGGTAATCCAACTGTCGAGGTAATTTATTTTTTCCCTCTGAAATTGATAGTTATAACTTCTTTGGTTGCGAGATCGTTCGGTAGCTTTAGAATATTAATAATTTTTCATTTCTTCTACTTCGTAAAAAATCCATCTCATTTATTTTGTAATTGTAGAATTCCATTTTGTAGATGTGGTTACTTATTATTATTTTGACAATATTGAATATAATATTGAGTTTTTTCATGACAAATCGTCTTTTTCTATTTTCTAATGAGCATAAGAAAGCCTATGGTAAAATGAATACATGATTAATACGAATATGGCGGGGGTAAAATAGACAATTAATGAATCAGTAGATGAGTTGACCAAAGGCAAGGATCGTTAGAAAAATATGGGTGGCAAATTGTTTTTGTTCCCTAAATTCTAATTGTTAAAAACTATGTTTTCACGGTAAATTTGGCAACAATTAAATTGCTTCAGTAGCTTAGTGAAAGTTTGTATGCTTGGAAAAAAGTAAGGTGTCAATTTTGCCGTTTTTTCGGCTTATTCTCAAACGATTTAGACGTTGTCTGATGTTAACGTTATTGTAGGTCAAATCCCCAAAATGAAATTGTGCCAGCATCGATTTTCGACTGTTTCCTAAATCCCAAAAAATATTGAGTACATTCTGAAATGGCGAAAAACGAGAAAATGTCGAAGGAGAAATGGACCTTTTTATTAATTATATCTTGTAATTTCGAATATTTTACCGATAACAGTTTTGGGCAAAGCATGGCGGATTCATATGAGCGACTAAATGTATATTCATTATAAAAAAGCATACACTAAAAACAGCGCCATATACTTAGCAAAAAAAAAATTAAGGAAATTTATTTTTAACTATTCCAGTGGCTAGGAAATGGATTAGATAAATTTGGAAAAGTATTTTCCGAATTTGGAAACATGTCCTGTAATTAATATTAATTAAAATTCATTAGGCATATAATTAGCAGAAAATTTGGCTTTTTCCTCCCCAACCCACTCTGTTCATGCAGTATCGTTTGGAGAACGAGTTTTTATTCTTTTTGGAATTTGGAAACAAATTGTGGAATGGTTTTTTATTAATTAAACATCATTTTTGTTTCATCTCAATAAGTTATTATTGCATGAGCGTTCACCGCTACATAGAGATGTCGCCGAAGAAGGGGAACCTAAGCTGGAAGTTTATTTAATTATACTTAATATTATTTAAAGCGAGGTAATTTTGTTCAATATGGTGGTATCCACCAGTACCCCCCACTTCGCGGCTTCCGGTGATTGTATATTTTCTTCAAATTATTCTACTTGAACTGACTTTCTAAACTAAAATAACACTATCAATCACTTATGAACGATTCCTCATCGATTGAGCACCTGTCACGCCATCTATTATTTATTTGCAATAAATATGGTGCTAACTTTTTGGAAAGATAGCACCACATTTTATAATTCTTTAAAAAATCCATAACAATTTTTTGGAGCACTTGCAATCAGAAATTTTTAGCTAGCTTTCACTTGCAAACCAATTGCAAACAATACAAATTATTGTAATAATTAATTGATTTCATCATAGTGTTAACTAGAGCCAGTTTCAGAGCATTGGAGCATCTTGACCCCCTCCGGCCACGTCTCTATGTAGCGGCGCACGTTCATGCGATAATACCTCATTAACGTGAAACAAAAATTATGGTTAATTAATAAAAAACCATTCCACAAATTGTTTCCAAATTCCAAAAAGTATAAAAACTTGTTCTCCAAGCGATGCTGCACCAATAGAGTAAGTTGGGGAGGAAAAAGCCAAATTTTCTGCTAATTATATGCCTAATGAAGTTTAATTAACATTAATTAGAGGACATGTTTCCAAATTCGGAAAATTCTTTTCCAAATTTATCTAATCAATTTCCTGGCCACTGGAATAGTTAAAAATGAATTTCGATCATTTTTTTTGCTAAGTATATGGCGCTACTAACAACAGAGATTATAGGGGAGATTGCTAACACTAATGGCGAGGCTTCAATCGCGAAATCTCGTAGCCGCACTGGCGGAACTAATTTTGCGGGTGTACCTGTAAGTCAAACAGGTCGCGAGGTCAAGAGTGTCGGTAATTTTCGGAGGCCGTGGGTATGGGTAAAGCAGAGCGCGAGCCCGAGAGTGTCGATAATTCTGAAAGACCAGCGAACCCAAGAGTATCGGTAATTCGAGGAAACCGTGACGAAGAAAAATATCCGATATAGAGCGGAGTGGGGGAAACAACCGATGGACGGAATGAAAAAAATCAATTTTATAAATTCGAAAAATTGTTTAACCAATGCGAGAAAAAATGTCGCGAATATATGCTCAAACGATTGGGACATGTCTGACATGTTGAAAAATTATGGGTCCCTAGGAAGCTTTTTTTTTCAACCGGTCCTTTTTTGTTTCCCTGGCAATTCATCATGGGCGGACCATCCGCCCATGTTCTGCCCATGTTCCGCGACTGTTCATTTGAGGGCCAGAAACGATTGGAAATGGTCAGAATGAATGACAATAATTATCCGATTCCGAATTATGAAAAAATATGGTACATGGAGCTAATCAGGAACGTTTTCCTAATTAAGGCCCGGATGGAGGGAATTTTTTCTTGATTGGCGATTTTACGCCCTCCTACTTCGCGGTCAAGACCCGAACCTTGATCTCAAGCGATGCCTTGTCGGTAACTACGGCAATCGCTGGAAACCAGGGAAACATTGGGCAGTGGGGCTTTCGAGGGCGCCGGAAAATGTTTTCATTCCCTATGCCACTAAGTGGCATGAGAGATTTATATCTCGACAGATTGGCGCGGGCGGTGAGGGGGCGAGGGGG